TTAATGGGCACTGGAGAGCAGAAGCTGAGGTCGGGGTTGCCATGACAACTAGGAGAAGGGGCCTTTTGCTGCTGCTTCACCTGAATACTGTGGAGGCTCGTTGGCTGGCTGAGGCAGGCAGCCACACACACACACACACACACACACACACACACACACACACACACACACACACACAAATGCTCACCACACATACTTCCATGCCTGCAGCACCTCTTCCATTCACTCGTCCTCCTCTCCGTGAGATGCTGTGCCACCCATCCAAGCATCTTCTTTCTCTCTGCTCATCCTCTTTTTCTCCCTTATTGCCTTTGTCTGTTTTCTTTGTTGCTGCTGATCTCTCCAGTGCTCTCAGAAACGCCACAGCTGGTTAACCGGGTATACTTTGTGGATGTGCATGAAAATATCCTGAATTTAGCCTATTGTTTCTGCTGACGTCTTTGAGTCAGCCCAGGCTGCTCTCTGGTTGGAAAAGGATGAATCACATCACCAGCTGTGTCTCGGTTCCCAGTTCAGTTTTTGTTGGGTCTTTTTTATTCATTTATTTTTTTGTGACATAAATGTGAGACAAAGTTGGTCCCTCCGTAGAGCTGGTTTCACACATTTTCATTATGTCCTTTCTGCTATAGCGGTTCACAATATAAGTCTTAAAATAAAAACGCAGACATCATTCAAAGTAAATGGATTAATTTGAAAGGACGGCCGTGCCACAGACTAGGAAATAATCAGCAGCTACTGAAAAGAGCAGCATCTCATTTTCACACTTCACACAGTCCATCTTGACTCTAAAAAACATGTTTATCTTTCAATAATTATTACCAGACCTCACAATGGACCCACACAGATCAGGGCAGGTAATAACACAGCAACCCAAGGTCTGCAGAGAGAGAGAGAGAGAGCCTTCCCTTTAGGTTGTAAATCATTTGGACAGGGCTCGGGTTGGGTTCAGGTGGGGTCTCAGTAATGAGAACTCGTGGTTCATGGTTTAAGAGTTAATAGTAACAATTAGGGCACAGATTCACTCTAAAAACAATAAAATAGTTCCTCTATTAATACATAGATGTAATTTTTGATGACAGTTGTTGGGAAAGAAATACCTTTTGTCACTAGGTCCTAATTAAATTCAGTGTGTCACATGAAGCATCTCAGGGTGTGCCGTTCAGGAACGTTTGTGCTGATGTGAATTTGTCTGCTAAAACAGATTCTCGTCTGACGCTGTCTCTGATTTGCCTCATTAATCCAGCAAGCAGATATTATTAAAACAGTATTTTAGCGTTTAGCGTGCAGACAGACGCTGTCTTTAGTGATCTCTGATTGAGAATGGTTTATAAACACAACCTGGATGTATAAACACACGCTAGTGTTGTTAGAGCCTGCTATGTTTATGAATGGTGTTGGAAGGCAGCTCTATGTGCCACCTCCCCACCCACTCTGACCAGTTATTAAGAAAAGCACAAACAACTGAAGGAGGAGTGACAATGATGACGTTTGGTTCTGCTGCTAATTTGACATCATTTTCACATAGAGGCGTAGTTTTTTCACTTAAAAGTCAACTTTCCTCATATGTTTAATACATTAGCAATGGTTTCTAGTAGGTTTGAATGCCTTGTAAGTCGTTCTCTAGGGGGGAAAAAGCTCTGGTGCACCTGTTTGAGAACATAGAAATCAGCTGGAGAGGTCTTACATCTGATATTTGGAGATCTCGCCTTTGATTGGCTAACGCGACTCTACCACTGACTCTGTTTGCTCTGCAACGTTGATGTTTTATCTCCACAAATAACACAAGCCTGGAGGAGTTCTGTTGTGTGGGGGAGCTACTAATGCTAACAGTGGTGCTAACTCTACTTGCCGAGGAGTTATCTGCTGTTTCCTGGACGATAAAGCAACAACAGCCTTCCCCGTCACGAGTCAAGATGGGTGAGTCTGTACATGCTAAGTGACGTAGACCTGTCAGGCTTTTCTGAACCGAGCGTTTTTCAGAAGCTAATGCAGGAAATAGGAGTAGAATACTGCTGTCACATTCAGCCTGCATGTTAAACTCAGAGTGACTGATCATTTTCAAAAAGAATGTAAGAAATGTACTACTGCAATGCCCTGCTTTCTGGTCTTCCCAAAAAGAGCATCTCAGGCTTACAAATTTTACAAAATTCGGCAGCACGTGTCCTGATGAAGACCAGGAGGCGGGAGCACATGACACCAGTTTTAGAATCATTGCATTGGCTCCCCGTATGTTTCAGGATCAATTTTAAGGTTCTTCTAATGGTTTTTAAGTGTCTTAATGGTCTTGGGCCTTCTTATCTATCAGAACTGCTTTTACAATATGAACCCTCGCGGACTCTGCGCTCCTCTGGCAGGCGTCTCCTGGTCATCCCTAAAGTCAGGACACAAACTCACGGCGAGGCGTCCTTCCAGTGTTATGGCCCTCACCTCTGGAACGAGCTGCCAGAGGACCTCAGGGCCGCAGAGAACGTTCATGTTTTTAAGTCCAGACTCAAGACCCATCTTTTTAGGTTAGCTTTTATCTAAATATTTACTACAGTTTTATTTCTCGTTTTACATGATTATATTTTATTACTTGCTTTGCATGTTCTATATGATTATATTTTAGCACAGTTTTATTATTTAAATTATTATTTTACTGTCTATGATTTTATTTATTACTTATTTTCTAATTGTTGTCATTTATATTAGCTCTTTTATTACATTTTTACTCATTTTATTCCAGTGTTTCCTCTGTGGGGGCCCTCTGCCCCGGGAGCGGTGGTCGACTGTAGCTTCCTGGGCGCTCTATAGATGGGGGTCTATGCTCCCCCTCCACTGAGCGCCCTGACTTAGTGTGGAAGACCTGATGCTGCCGGGACAGACGGCTCCTCTGATAGTGTTTCCTTGCGTTACCATACTTGGCTCATCAGGACTCAGCCTAATATAATTTTTACTCGTGTGTGTGTGTGTGTGTGTGAGTCTGTGTGTGTGTGCGTGTGATTGCATATGTTTGTTAATGTTTTTAACCTGTGATGGGAATCTGGGGTCATTTTGTAAAGCACTTTGAATCACACTTTGTTTGAAAAGCGCTTTAGAAATAAAATTTGATTGATTGATTGATTTTGTCAGTGAACCTGAGAATAATCAGACAGTGGGCAGGGTCTAAGCTTTCGTGTTGGCCTCTGTGCTACGATCGGAACAGGCGGGAGTGAGCGTGTAATGAGCCTTCATGGATCAGTTTGGGAAATGCTTCTCGAAAGGGGAACTCACTGGCATACCGGCGTAACCCTTGTATGTTAGTGGCAAACAAAATGGCACACATCCATCATTCCTAGCTGCATAATTGGTGATCTTCTTAGTCCCTACACCCCCAGCAGGTCCCTGAGGTCCAGTGATCAAAGCCTACTGGTTGTGCAGCACCAGGCTAAAGACCAAAGGTGACAGATCATCTGCTGCTGTGGCCCCCAGACTCTGGAACTCTCTCCCCCTGAGCCTGAGATCAGTGGACTCAGTGGTCTCCTTTAAAAAGCAGCTGAAAACTCACATGTTCAAGCTGGCTTTGGTGTGATCTTCATAATCACCCTCTCCTCGTTCTGCTCTCCCCACCTATTCCACCTTCCTCAGGATCCACTGATTTCCCTCTTTCCTGTTCACTCTCTCTCTCTCTTTCTTTACATTTTTTTAATCACAATTGTCTATTTTTGCTCATTTAAAATATATTTTTAATCATTTTCTAAATGCTTTTTTTATATTTTCACATTTTGCTTTTGTGAAGCGCCTCGTGATTTTTATCTTGAGAGGCGCTATAGAAATGATACTTTCTTCTTCTTCTTCTTCTTCTTCTTCTTCTTCTTCCTAATGAGCAGTCTTGTGTGTGGTCTTTATTTGTATCGTATCATATCTGATCCGATCAACCTTTCAGTTTTCTTTAAATCTGTTCTTGAATATCTGTTGAGTTGGATAAATTCTTCTTCACTTTCTGGTCTATTGAAAGTCTTTTCTATGCTTACCCACAGTTAAGGTCTGGATCATACTCTGACCTTACGTAGCATGTTTAGTTGGCTGCTGGATACCTCTTGTTACATTTTCAGAGTTCTTTTTCTTCCTGACTCCTTTGCTTCTTCCCTGGTCAATCAGGTGAAATGTTTCTGCTCATGTCAGACTTTTGTAGCATCTTTATATTTTGTTCAGAAGCCCTCTGATTCACCCTTTTGTGTGCGAGTGTGTGCATCCTGCTTCACGGCCCCGGGGCTTGTTAGTTATCGCCTGAGCAGTGCAGGTCAGCCGATGCACGGTGGGATTGGTTTTGATGGGAGCAAATAAAGATCCACTTGCATCGGGGAGGGTATCTGCATATTTTGTGGTGCTGAGTTCATGAGCGGTGGAAATCTGTCACCTTTGTAGCCGTTAGCTCTCCACGGTGAAGGTTGGGCTGTGGTCATAGTTAATTGTAACCAAGTCAGGTTAGTTTAAGGGTTTGCTTGTGAGCATGTGGAGCACCCGTCCTAGATGTTCTCAGAATATTCTCTCAACTTAACTTTCTTGTTCTTCTTTCATTTCAGTCTGACAAATCACTCATGGCCAAATACTGAGTCAACATCAGAAGCAAATCAGAGCAGGAAGAGTCACAATCTCTTCACTGTTCAGAGAAAACAGAACTAGAAACGTGTTTAGAGGATGGGAGTGCATGCAGATTAAAAGGCTGTTGCATAAATCAAATAACTTATATCTGATTTCTGCTCATGTCCCAATTTTGAATTCTGTTGCTGATGAAATGTAACAGTACTTGGCTGTGTGCATTTCATGATAGGATTCATCATATTTCCGTCAAGTACTCATAGTAACTCCATTTATTCCAGAGAGTAAAATCACACTTTAAAGATTTGCACCAAACAATGTTACACCTCCTAATCATTTTGGCACATGCAGGAATATTTTAGCACCTTCATCCTGTAAGTTTTTGTTACTCTTTTTACCAAAAAAAACCTGAGAAAATTAATACTTTTGTGTTTTTTCAGAGTGCAGCCGCTGCTCCCAGTCCAGTGATGGGCAACATGCCACCCAATGACGGCATGCCAGGAGGACCCATGCCTCCAGGCTTCTTTCAAGTAAGAACCTTTGCCTGAGACATTGTCTTCATCAGTCCGCTGTCAACATCACCTCCTGACTGTCTCTCTCACACACACACACACACACACACACACACACACCATTTAGCCTACACTAAGCCCATCCTCCTGTCTACTCTTCCTTTTTTAGCCTCTTTAGCTGTCCTAATCCTTGTCCAGATGTGTTCCCTTGTCTGCCTCTGCCCCATATGTCCATGAATCGTTGAGTGGTTAACTCCTGCTGCTCGCTGATGCTTTCTACTCAAATAATTTGTTGTCATCTGGTGAATTTTCTGTGTGCATTTAGTTTAGAGGGAGAGACAGTTTGCATTTCCCCCTAGTTCCTCTTCTCTTGGTATTTCTGCTGGTGAGGAAACCTAGTTGGACACGCGTTAAAAATAGAAGTACCTAAACTAGCCTCATCTCCACAGATGTTTGCAACATTGCTGAAGGATAGAGAAAGAATGAATTTTTAATTTTTGTTTAAAATGGGTGTTTTTGTAGCAGATAATTGTTTAAGTGATAGAGCACGTCTGAACTATCAGCCTTCGCTTTGGAAAGTCACAGTTTGAAAAAGTTTGGGTAGAAATTAATACATTCCTGCAAAACATTTCCTTCATTACGGGTATTTTCAGGATAAAAACGCTTAAAAGAGAAATACAAAATCAACCGCTTAAAAAATACAACACGGAGAACAGCTTTGGTCCGGTTCACAGCTAACTTAAACATACGTTTTTAGTTAAATATCTAAATACAAACACGAGAGTGTTTTTTTTTGTCCTTTTCTTGTAAAACAAATTTGATTTCATTTAAAGAGCTTTGTATCCCTTTAAGAAAAGACACATTGGTATTCTCACTCCTAAACATATGTATTCCTTGTTAATGTTTCAGTAAAATAACTGGGATAAATTCATCACAGTTGAATTTTAGTTTAATTCATTTCAACTCAGATGAATCTTTGTTTTATTATCACAGATAATGAACCTGTTTTAATTCAAATTTATTTAACTGACACTTTTCAGGCAAAAACAAAATGGACACACATTCATAAGCAGCATCTGGTCTTTATGAATGAGTTAAGCGTATTCAGCTATGCAAAGGAGTAATCAAATAAAGTGTCTCTGCACCACATCTAATGTGAGATGGTGAAAGCTTTTTTATAGCAGGCTGATTGAAAGCAGATCATGCAGTGTGCAGTGTGTGTGTGTGTCTGTACGTGCGCGCATGTGTGTGTGTGCTGGGGTCGTGGAGAGTGTTAATGATGTATGAGCTGTGAGCAGGCCAGAGAGAAAACTATCTGATGGTGTTGCATGAGTGACATTGCTTTCCATAAATAGACTGCACAAGGCAGACAGACATGCAGACAGACATGCAGACAGACATGCAGACAGACAGGCAGAGGGGAAGAGGAACTTTTAGCTTCCCTTCCATCCTGTGATATCTCTGGGTAGTCAAACGTGAAGAAAACACAAAGGTGCTGTGGGACCTCACAGTGAAAAGCGCCAAAGACAAACAGCTCCCTCTACACTGACCTCAACACCAGCTTTTCTTAAATCAAGCTGACATCGTTACCAATAAAGCAGCGCGTATTAAAGGTGTCGAATTGCATCATTCGGCTTGAGCTGGAGCTTCTCACGTAGCTTGCTGCTGGAGCTTACGTTCGTTCCTTGGTGGAATAATGGCTGCGATCTGTGCTGAAAGTGCAGGCTACTGAGTTTTCTGCAACACATTCATTCGTTGTAATGAAGGGGGATGCAGATGTAATGAAGGGGGATGCAGATTTCCCTCACCTACATTGTTGGGATTACTCATCCTCCCATCGCTCCTCCTCAGTCACACCGGGGGTGTGGGGCTAAAGTCACTTAGCTGTGGATGTGAGAGTGTGAATGAATGATATGCAGTAAACTGAGGTTTCCTTGTTGTTCAGTCATTGCTCAGTTGAACTTCAGGTCAGTTTTTATTTTCCTCTCCCCGCTGTATGCTCAGCATCCTATTCCATGGCATTTCCTCACTCTCCACACTCCTCTTGTCTTTAAAATGATTGTTTTTTTGTTTATTATTTCACACACACACACACACACACACACACACACACACACACACACACACACACACACACACACATACACACACACATACACACACACACACATATACACACACACACACACACATGCATACACACACACACACGCATACACACACACACACACACATATACACACACACGCATACACACACACACACACACACGCATACACACACACACATGCACACACACACACACACACACACACACACACATATACACACACACGCATACACACACACACACACACACACACGCACACACACACACACACATATACACACACACGCATACACACACACACATACGCATACACACGCGCGCGCACACACACGCATACACACACACACACACATACACACACACACACACACACACCTCAGGGACACGTGCACACTCACCAACATCTCTGCATGTACTGTCCTTGTGTGGCGTGTGTGTTGCAGAAATTAGTGTCACGGACATCGTGGTAATTAACACAGGTGACCCAAACGTTGCTCTGGATTCTGTCCTGAGAGGGAGGGATGAGGGGCGAAGCTGGGACAGAGGTGCTGAGAGGAGTTTTCTTTCCAAAGGTCCTCTAAAGTTTGATTAATCGTTATGTTGACAACTGTAAAAACCACTGCTATGATTGGATCCATTTATTTAGTCCGCCGTTGATCATTGGCTAAAGGCCTTTAAGGGCAGATACCTTAAAGGAATTTTTTATGAAGCAAAATAAATGTAAAAAGCTCTCAATTTGTCCTTGCCTATGAAAACAAAACAACAACAAACAAACAAAAAACAATGTTCTGTTTGTTTTTATACTTCCATAGACTCAGGCAGTCCAGTCCATCATCACCTCTGAGTTTTAATTATTTTCTGTTAAAAACATTTTCTCACAACTGACTGAGATTTAACGGCTCCAGTATGAGTCACCTCTACACACACAGCGAGCCCTTCCAGTGATACGACTGTACCGCTGTATTTAAAACGTTCTAACAACGGTTCTCCTGAGACGTTGTTCCTACAAAAATTAACAAACTTATGTCTCAAATTATATTTTATCAGGACTTCTTGGCCTATTTTGGTTGACATAATACTTGCCTTGATGCTGCATGTCCAACATCAAGTGATGTTAGGACTTTCAGCCCAAACAGTCTGCCAACTAGGGTTGTCACGGTAACCGGTGTAGCGGTAAACCCCGGTAAAAAAGTTGACAATAATAATAACCGTCTTGTTTTTAAAAAACTATATTATCTCTGTGGGTTTACCGTGGCTGCGGTGTAGGCGCGGTGACCCTTACCAGCCACCTTATCATCTGCTGAACTTGCCGGCGGCACATGTGCACTTTGTTGTTTACAACCAAAACTTTCTTGAAGCTAAAGCTGAAATAATGGCCAAAGGAGGAGAAGGCAGTGCTCAGGACATTTATTATCCCCCAAAGAAGACAAAGTGGGAAGTACGGGCATTTTTTGGATATTTGAAGAATGCCGAGGGAGTTTATAGAAGACGGCTGTCCTGTTTGCAGCACGTGCAGAAAAAGGGTCTGTGAAAGGCAGCAACGCTTCAAATCTCATGACACATCTGCATGAGCATCACCCACAACTCTACAGTCAACGCAAGGCAAGCTAACGTTAGCGTTTTAGCTAAAATGTGTGATCCGAGGATTTGGGTTGAGGGAGAATGCAACGAGTCGCTATATAAAGCAGCCGCAGCGCCGCTACCTGCATATAAACCGTGTCGCGGACACCCCATGTTGAAATGACGCTATGCATTACGGGGCTCCCAGGGGCAGATAAGAGTTGGTCTCTCTCCGAGAATAATTATGAATTTAACGATGATTACTGCCTGATGACATTTTCCCACATCTGCAAAGCTCACTGGAACACAAACCGAGGACAATATTTTCCTGATATACGGATTTATTTTGTTGTCTGAAAATGTAACATGTTTAAAAAAAATACCACCATACTACCGAAAACCGTGATAATTTTGGTCACAATAACCGTGAGGTTAAATTTTCACGCCGTGACAACCCTAGTGCCAACTGGTTGTAAAACATCCAACATGGCCATCACTGTAAACAGAATCTTGTGTCTTTGTGTTTCAACAATAGACACAGAGACTTATCGTCCATCTTTGTATATGTCAACATAACAGTACAAAATAATTTCAAATAAAGTTTCTCGCAACACTTTATAATAAGGGTACCTTTATTAATGTTAGTGCATTATTAAGCATTAATAAACAAAGGATCCCTTTATCAATCAGTGTGTTTACATGCAGCCAGTAACCCTTTTAAAACCCGAATATTCACAATAACTCGGTTCCGCAGGTCCATGTAAACACCGCCAAAAACCCGGATATGCTCATAACCGGGTTTTTAAAAACCCGGTTACTACACCTGGGGTAATCCTTTTCTAACCCGAATGTTTGGTCGTGTAAACGCATATCGGGATATCCCCATCAAAGCGTGTGTTCTGCGCATGCTCTGTTCACAAGTGTTGGGGTTATTAGGAGCGAACAATTAGTAAGCTTCAACTTACTTTTGGATTCTTCAATAAATTCTGTAAATATGGGAATATTTACTGATTTATTAATTAATTAGGATATTCTTAGATATACGGGGCACCATTCCCCTTTAACCGGGGAAAAATTGAATCCAAAACTCTTATCAGTCTTTCTTGAAGTTCGTAGAATCCTTGGAGCAGAGACTTCTCTTCGACACAACAAAGCCACTGGAGACGAAAATCTGAATTTTATAACGTTTAATTAACAATTTGTCAAATGAATAAACAGTGGCATAAATGAATAATAACCATGTGATATAATAAAAGGATGTATATTCAAAATAATGTTCAAGGTGTTTGTGTGGTGTGTGTGAGTGAGTGTGTGTGTGTGTGTGTGTGTGTGTGAGAGATGAATGGGT